CCCCAAAACCCCAAAACCCCAAAACCCCTTAAGAGGGACAATTACTTGAAATTTTGCAAAATCTGTTTGTTTACTCAGGATACTTGGTCCATATATCTGAGGCAACTTGATTTCTAAAGATTACAGCCATAACATACCTCTCTGTAATTTCTTAGTATTTCTCATTATATCTATCTGGTCTGTTGTACATGTTCCTAATCGGGGCTACAAGGTTAGAAGGAACTTACGAAGATGATAGGAGGAACTTTCTTCTTTTTCAGGATCCTTCTCAGTCTTTTTGTCAGATGATTTTGTGTTTTTGTTCTTATTTGCCAACTGATGTCTGGTCTCATTATGGACATGTCTTCTGGTTTGTGAGTTATCGTAAGATGGTTCTGGGTTAGGCTTATCTTTGTCTACCTTCTTATCATTCTTTCCCTTCTTCCTTGCTCTCCAAATGCAAATCCCCACTACAACTCAGCAGCAAGTGCAACAGCAGCAGATTCAGACCACTACTACAATAACAATAACAGCTTCTCTAAAAATGATTAAAGCACTTACGATTTACCTCCATCTCCTGTCTGAAGATGGATAACTCCTAGTATGGAGATACTGCTGGCTGTAGTGTAAGGCTCAAAAACAATGTAGATGTCAGTGGAAGTATCATAGGTCGCGCTCACTTCAGTGTCTACTGCCAATCGAGCTACGTACTTGTACTCATTCTTGCCTCTAGATCCTGTAAATAGAGTTGCATTCATATTGGCCAATGACACTATAGTGAAGGTTAAAGTAAGAAAAAGCAATGAATAAAATAGAGCCCTGATAAAAGACAAATTTGATATGGTGATCAGGGAGGCGATGGAGAGAAATTATGTGTGTTCTTAGAAGGTCTAAAGGGTTGAAGAAAGCTTAGAGATTAGATAGGAATTACGACTTTTCTACTTGTGTTTAAAGTAGTGAGAAGTGTTGTTGCAAATACAAAGATGAGCAATAACTCTATCTTTCTCAACGGTTACTTATATTTCAAGAAATCACTAACATTATTCAAAGCTTAATCTCAGAGCGAATACTAGCATCAAAAACCTATTTCATAAAATGTTTCCTTCCAAAGATAAGGAACAACTAAAAGTTTTTCAGATCAGAAAGAATTTCTGGTCAATCTGTTTGTTTACAAATTGATTCATTGAAAGTGAAAGCTACCGATAATACTCCAACTCAGAAAATTATTAGGGTTGAACATTTATAAAACTAACCTACTTTAGGCTATGACAAGGAGGATTATGCTCAGAATTCCTGACAATTCTGAAGTACTTACCTGCCTTAACTTTGATATTTTTGATAGACCCATTTCTTGTGTAAACTCTATAAGAACACACCGAATTAGGGGCCATCGAAGTTCTCTTTAGTTCCCATTTTCCACTATCATCATTTAATGGGTAACTCTTAACACCTCAAACTTGGACATTAGAAGGGCACAGTATAAGGCCTCCATTACTCTCAATATTGCTTGAGTCGGAGCAAACAAAGCCACTATTGCTAGCACAATACCCAGTTGTATCTCCAGTAATATGCTCTGTGCTAGTAGTAGTGCACCATTTTTGTGCACTATTACTGATGCAGGTTCTTCAATCAGAAGAGCTGGAGGATGACGCTAAGTCTCTGTTGAGTCCTATGACTTCAGCATAGCAATAGACTGCAGTTATGAATAAGATAAATGCACGCAAAGCTAATTTTTTTATTATCATTGATTAAAATGACAATTCAGTTCCCTTTATAATTCCCGGGGTTTTGGGGTTTTGGGGTTTTGGGGG